AGGTTCTCATTCCCAGAATCCTCTAAGAACCGGGTTGACCTTGAAGATCACCAAGATTAAGTCACTCCCCCAAGTTCACAAACCTAGTTGTCAGCAAGCCATGGCTAAGATGCATATCTTGGGACTCCTAATCAGTCATGTTCTCATCAGGCCCTGCATTAGAATATATTTCCATGTTTCTCTTCCAAGGAAATGTAGAAATATATTTTTAATTGTTTATGAAAATTCTATGAGGTTAACCTTCATATATATATTCATATTACTTCTACATAAATATCCTGCATCTATTTAAGAATAATTTTTACAGCACAACCTATTGGTAAAAGAAGAGTTTCATTGGTAATTATAAAGCATAATTTATTGAATCTTTTCCCAGTCTGGTGATAAAAATACAATCTAATTTAACTTTATATTCAAGTGTCTATAATTTAAGTTTAGAGTGAATTTTAATACACATAATTTCAATCCATAACAAATTAGCCCCCAAAGATGATTTATTAGGAATTGATATTCCTGTAGAAGCTATGTTAAAAATAGGAGAAGGAAGAAGGGAAGTGTCCCAGGCGAGGCTATAAAATTCTAGTTGTGCTATAATATACCCAAGTACTGGGCATTTGTAGTGGAAATTGGCTATAAGTGATCATAAATCTGAAATAAAAATAAATCATTATAATTTTGTGTGGCTTTTCCCCTAATGGGAGTTGGAGCAAGGTATAGAAGTGGAACAACAGTTGTGGTGATTCCTCTGTCTGGCAGTTTCCAGCCACATCTCTCAAAGAACACAGTGTCTTGTACAGAGTTTGGAAGAACCACGAGGCATTTCCTAAGTACAGAAAGGAGAACTAGCATTTCCGGCGAGTGGGATAGCATATCCACAGGTTGAGAATGGTGGAACAGCGTGGTGCATTAGGGGAACAACCAGTGATTTCGTTTACTGGAGCACACATGTTTGAAGGTTTGGAGGGAAACGGAAAGATTTAAATAGATACTTCCAGAGCCAGATCCTGAAGGGCTTCCACACTGACCTGGTCTGCTCGTGCTGGGGATGGGGTGCCACCAGTGGGTACTGAGCAGGAGATGGCCTGACTGATTGTTTCAGGAAGAACCTATCGGGTGTCAGTGTGCTCTGGAGGCAGCTGGCTCTGGCGTGTGTCTCTGGCATTGTTTTACTGTATAGGTCAAAGGCAGCTCTGAACGTTAGAGAACACATTACATTTGTTTTCGGGCATTAGAATAAAAACAAGGAGACTGGAGGACTTTTAAAAGGGATTGAGTCAGTGTTTCCCCAAGTTCAGTCACTTCTGTGAGAACATTGTAATTTTTTCTTATCTATAAATCATGTTTAATCTAATTTATTAAAATTTTTTGATGGACTCATTTCTTCACAACTCCAAAAAAAGGAAAATGCACACCCCTAAGCAATAGTATTTGTGAAATTGCAGATTTAGCCATTGCTGATATCGTATGTATTGATATAAACCCAATTATTGAAAGAAAAATGCCCATCTGGGCGCCACCCTAAATTCCACTTTAGGAAACATGAGTCTATCTGATGCCATCATTTTACAGGTAAAGAATTGATATGCAAAGCAAACGATGTGTCTAAGTCCCCAGGTTCGCCAACCATGTTCCAAACACAGTTCTAGGTGCTGGGGAAATAGCAGTAATAAAACAAAATCATTGTCACCAAGAACTTACATTCTAGTGGGGGACACAGACAACAATCAAACACATAAAGACATGGCATGATGGCAGGTAGTGTGGAGGCTATGAGGAAAACACGGGGAATTGAGGGAATAGACAATGGCCCGGTGTGCTTTTGGATGGCCTGGTCAAGGAGGCCGCTCAGTCGTCCCATAGGTTGAGAGAATAAGATGTGAGATATCTGAGGATGGCGCTCTCCAGGTAGAAGAAATCACAGGAGCAAAGACACGTAGGTGGGAACTTCCCTGACATGCTTGCGGAAGAGCCAAGACAAACTAGTGATGGTGCCATGAAAGCCTCATTCTTAGGAAGGCCGCCCGCTGCCCCACCAAGGGCCGGCCAGTACACATCGGTTCTGTCCAGCCCGGCACCTGTTTTACTGGAATGCAGCCCTGCGCGTTTGTTTACGTCTCGCTCAAGGTCGCTTCTGTGCTTCAACAGCAGAGTTGTATGTTGCAACATAGTCCATGCGGCCTGTAAAGAGCCTAAATTATTTACCATCCGGCCTCTTACAGAAAATGCTTTGGGCAATCCCATAACATCAAAATACACATTTTCCGTGTCAAAATCTACTTTCTACTTGTAGAAAATCTCATTTTATTTTTTTAAAATTAAGTTATGTACCAGTGAAAACTATTTGGTATATCCTATTCCCATATGATTTTTTTTAGTGGTGAATTGGAAGAATAAGGTAATCTCTCATTCCATAAAGATAGGAGTAAAGAATAAACACAGTTCATCTTATGCTTGTAGTTTCCTCTTGTTAGTATTCAAATTATATTCTCTCTAAAGTACATCTGAAACAGGCCTGTAATATAGCCTGTCAGGAGTTGGATTGTTGGGTGGGTACACAAGGTTTTTAAAAAGATCCATATGGACAGTGTGGTTCAGAGCTACCAGTCTCTTTGGAACTAATTACCTTCTCAAATCAAAGAGTCTTGTGATCATCCGTGACCTCATATGAGAGAACTGCTGTGCTGAATTTTCCTGGGGCTTTCTTTTTCTCTAAAACAAAGTACTTATGGTTCTGGGGACAATATTTTTGTCTTTAGTGTAAATAAGGTTCATAGAAGGTGCCTCATATTTTCTCCCTACCAAATATTTCTAGAAAGGAAAACTAAGCAACAAAGAAAAATAAAAAATAATAATTAAGACTAATAGAGAATAAAGTAAGAAAAATACATGGACAATATTTAAAAGACTCAGTATGTATATGCTTGAACTCCAAGATTTAAAGTAAGTCAGATACAGAATTAAAGTGGTGGCATAATCCATCTAATTAATTTAATTAGCCTCCACTGATGGACTTTAATTTGTCTCTGATTTTTTGGTCTCATAAATACTGCTGCAGTGAACATCTTTGCGGGATCATCTCTCTGGTGATTCCCTTATAATAAATGCTTAGGAAGTCACAGCAGCATAGAAGGAAGGTTATGCACATTACTAAGGTTGCCACTACACATTATCCTGTGGCTAACTCCTGAAGGCAGGCAAAGAGACTTTCTTAATTATGTGTTTAATGCTAAAGCTCAGTCTGATATTCCACTTGGGTCTTCTTCTTTTTTTTTAAATGTATTTTATTGATTTTTTACAGAGAGGAAGGGAGAGGGATAGAGAGTTAGAAACATCGATGAGAGAGAAACATTGATCAGCTGACTCCTGCACACTCCCCACCGGGGATGTGTCTGCAACCAAGGTACATGCCCTTGACCGGACTGGTACCTGGGACCCTTGAGTCCGCAGACTGACGCTCTATCCACTGAGCCAAACCGGTTAGGGCCACTTGGGTCTTCTTTATTGTAATGTTTTCTCAGTTGCAAGACACTAAGTAGGTTATCGTTCCTTGTCTCCGGGAAAACCCTGGTAAGTGAGAGACCAGAAGATGCGGGCGTTGGAAGGAGATTAGTCCTGGAAACAGCAGAGAGGCCAGAAGAAAGCTCAGGATCCAGTTCAAGTGTGGGATAAGCCATTCAGTTCACACTGCGACCCTCAGCGAGTGTCCACATGACATATCCTAGGCACTCTGATGGAGATTATGAAAAAGTGAAGACCAAAGTGGCACTTGCCCTTGTGGATTTACAGCTCACCGAGTTCACCATGAATACCGCCTCTCAGCTCTAACTTCTGTCTGTGGGAAGAGTTCAATCTTTTGGAGATGAAGTGCTCAAAAATTCACTTATTTAAAAAGTATTTTGGGGCCGGATGGTGTGGCTCAGCAGTTGAGCATCGACCCAGGAACCAAGAGGTCACTGGTTCGATTCCTGGTCAGGGCACGTGCCTAGGTTGCAGGCTTGATCCCCAGTAGGGGGCGTGCATGAGGCAGCTAATGAATGATGTGTCTTTCTCATCGATGTTTCTATCTCTCTATCCCTCTCCCTCTCTCTCTAAAAAAATAAAAACATATGGAAAAGTATTTTTGCCTTGTTGAAATTTGAGGGTTTTTTCTCCCCAAGTGTGTTTACTTTAAGAACTATTATGTGAAAAATTCACTCTTGGATGATATTCGAAAGAGCCCTTTTTGTGGGAGCCAGAACCTCTCAGTTGGGCCAGCTCAGCTAAACACATCACAGTGTCACTGCTTTTAGTCGCATCCTAATGTGTGCTGTAGTGGTCACAGCTCATCTTTTTTAAATAGGGAAACAGGGGCGTGTGGGGTTCTAACCACACCTCTGCAATCGTGGGAAGAGGGGCTGCAGGATCAGAGTAACCAGACACGTTTTCTTATTTATGGACATTTTAGAAGTTGTGGAAGGTCACTGGCAAACTCCAACTTTATTCTACGTGGGCTCATGATCAGGGATCAAACTATTCTTTTTGAAACGTTCAGTTCTTAGCAGTTCCTCTTTAAAGAAACGCTATCATTCCATTCTTTGGGGAGGAACGAACAATGCGGCTTGTGTGTTCAACCCACTTGGAGCCTTAACACACTGTTTCTTTAGAAGGATTTGCTTTCCAAAGTTGAACTTTTCAGAACACCTTATCACACTTTCACAAGCCTTCTCGCTGAAAATGGAAAAAGAAAAGTGGGGTGAGCCTGTCAGGACTTGTGCCAGTTAAATCCGATCTCTCCGGGGATTTGTTTTTCTCCTGGCGTCAGATTCGATGTTCAAATCAAGCAGTGTTTGAGGCTGCGAGGGAATGTCCATGGGATTCTTACTGAGGCTAATCCCACAGCAGCACATTCCAAGGGGCTAATCTGCCCAAGTTCATTGCTTACTTGAAAGGTCTCTTGGGGGAAGAGCCGGGCAAGTGACTTTTTTTTTCCAGTGGGCGGTCATAAGAGCATTATTAACGGGATGACCAGCCCCAGGCGCAGCAAAATGAAAGCAACAGGAGCTGCTGGTGGGACTGCCTTTGCCACCACCCAGAGTCAGTGCTCAGGTAAAGTGATTTCAGCTCACTTTCCTCTTGTTCAACTTCCCAATGTTGGATCTGGGGACCTAGAGGAAGACCGGAGGGATGCCCAGGGAGACCTTGAGGGAAAGCAAAAGGCAAAAATGAACATAGGGTTCAGTGCCTTTGGGTCTTTGGTATTTTGTTCTGTTTGGGACAAAGTGTACATTGGAAACCTGAGATCCTCAAAATGAGGCACATAGTGAAATTTTGCTTGCACTTTATTCCTATAAAGTTAATGGACTCTTTTATTTTTAATCTTATGATTACTGGTCTGGGTTGTTGTTCTTCTGTTAAAGTTGCCCTGCTAAAGGGTGGAATGCAATAGCAAGCTCCAAGAATTTCTGATTTAATACATGCTCTGTGTCTGCACTTGTAAACCATTCCTGCCTGGAGAAGTCCCTGATTCTGTAGCGAGTGCAGAGTGGATAATGATAAGAGTCAAAAGTAGTTTGGGGGGCGCACCTTTGTAGCAGAGACTTTGTAAAAAAAAGAGTTGAAACCTGCTTAAAAGAAATAACTTTTTTGTCTTTTGAGGGCGATATTTGTAGCTGCTTGTTTGTTTCTATCATTTTGCTGCTTTATTGATGGTACATTAGACTTTTAAAATTCATAATTAATTTATTCTTTGAGGGTAATCATTATATTTTGTTTAAAATGTGAATGTCCTCATTTGTGTTTTGAATGAGATGTCCTTTAATCATTAACCTATGGAAAACACTTTCCTTTTACACATCACACATGACTGATGATGCAGAAAGACAAGAAAGAAAATAGCCTTTCACAGACCCGGTCATGGTGACGTGACTATTCTACCTTTAGAAAAGAATGTACATAAGTGATTTCCTAAAGGAAAAGTACACGAGACTTCCGAAGTATATTTAAAAGAGATTTCAGGACACTTTGTCCATTGAGGTTTTGCATGATACATGGTCAGCTAGACCCACGGCATGTCAGAACTCTTTCATGCTTTCTAACAATGAGAGTAGCCATTCTGAGCTAACCTAGATGGATGTGAAAGCCAAGTAGAAAGCCTGCACAGAGCCATTCAAAGACTTGGAACAAATGAAAAGGGAATTGGGTTAGAGAACAAGTTAAACCTTGATTATACTTCAAATATGCCCTCTCAAAGAAAATAATTTTAAAAGTCTACTATCTGTCCACACGGGAGACCAGAATAAAAAGCACAGTAAAGCAAAACCCACAACAGAGCATAGTAAATTATGTGTGATATTTTGTAAAATTGCTAATTCATGTGCTATACATGCATTCTTTCCGTTATGTATTGTACTTCTCAAAGAAGAAACGATCCCGTTCAATTATGAGTGATGGAAAGATTCTTTTTACATTATGTTTCTTTTTTTTCCTCCTCCCAATTTTCTGTGCCTTTGTAAGGGAAGTGGTTAATCCTCTAATAAGAAGAAATAGAAACTAATCCTCAGTCCCTTTGCTAACAGTGAAGTGCCCTGCCACCTTTTAGAAGGTAATGAAGTTGCTAAACTGCACACAAGTCAAATTACTTTATAATTAAAGACTAACAAGTTGGCAATCTACGTGTAGTATCCTTACTACACAGCATCTGAGTAAAACTCCCTGGGCTTTCCAAGTTGAACTTGGGATCCATGAGAGAGAGAAATAATGAAGGTGCCCTTGAAAAATCTAATCTATGTCATGGTCTCCCAGATTCTCAAACTGGGAGTCCTACTGCGATTACATGTCTTTGTTGTAGTTATTATAAAGATTTCCCCTCTTGTTTCCTTCTCATAATCTGATGGCTTCCTAATGTCCCACCCAAATCCTTTACCTGAAGGAGAGAGGAAGAGCAGATAGCATAGTGAGTAATGAACAGTCCCTACAGAAAGGGGAAATGAGAAGAGGAAAAATACAAGTATGAACTGGCTCTAAGACATGCCTCTAGAAGCCCAACTCTCTTCAAATACCAAGGCACTTCCAGACATGCACAGATGGCACTGCCAAGATCAAGAGTATTTAATATCAATAATATCCAGCTTGGTGCCTGGCTGGTGTTGCTCAGTAGTTTGAGCATCAACCTATGAATCAGGAGATCACGGTTCGATTCCCAGTCAGGGCACATGCCAGGGCGTGCAGGAGGCAGTTGATTAATGATTCTCTCTCATCATCGATGTTTCTATCTCTCCCTTTCTCTCTGAAATCAGTGTGTGTGTGTGTGTGTGTGTGTGTGTGTGTGTGTGTGTGTGTGTGTGTTTAAAAATAACAGCCCATTTGGGAGGCAGTTTAGCAGAGTAAGAGTGTGAACCCTAGAATCAGACTGCTCAAGTTCAATTTCTGGCTTTAACATTTATTTGCTGCATCTGACTAGCTTCTTCATTGATAAATGGATATAATAGTAATCACAGTGTTCTTATGAGCCTCCATGGAGATAATACATCTATGACACAGATCCAGGCACCCAATGAGCCCTTCATAAAGCTCAGGCGTTATTACATACTGAGTTCCTACTAAGTGCCAGGTGCTTTCCCTGAATTACCTTTGATTAATACAACTCTCCAAAACAGCTATGATTATCCTCATGTTATAGACAAGGCTCAGGGAAATTAAATAGCTTTCCTACATACCTTGTTATTGGCTAGTATTCCCCAATGCAAAGTGAGATAAATCTAGGTCAATCTGCTACAGCAAAATCACAGTACTCTCATCGGAAACTTTATCTGAACCTTTAGTATCAGAACCAACCTAGGACTGCTCGACTTTTTGAAGTGAAAACACAGTTCCCAAGTAATAACGATAACTCTGTGTGTCAGGCATGTTGTTGTGCCCATTTTATAGATGAAGAAATCTGAAGAACAAAGAAATTATTTGACTTGGTCCACATAGCTGAGTCCCACTCACACCATTTTTTCTAATTGCGAACCTCATGCTCTACCCATGATGTTACCATTCTTGCTTTCTCTCAGAGAGTATTGATTAGTACCCCCTGAAATTCTCAGGTTCTCCCCCAAAAGATCCTTCTGAACCCTAGCCAAAGTGGACCACAAAGAAAAAAAGAAAAGTGCACTCTTTTCTGCTCCCCAAGGTGTAGGGAAAGTTGGTTTCAAATGTCCAGTGAGGAATATTTTTACGGTCTTTCTGCCAAGAGATGTTATCAACGAGAGTATTCAGTGTCTAGGAAAAAATCACAGCCCATGAATAGTTTAACTTACAGGCTTTTTAGAGAGATAAAGACTGGTTATCATCTACACTGTTGCAAAGATGTAGCCACTAGCTTTTCCTACATATTTGAAAAGAAAAATTCTTTGAGAATAGACACTGGGGCTTTTTCATGCCTAGCTGACAAACAGAACTGCAAATGTGGCCTTGGTGGTGGGAGGGTGCAGTGGGCCCCCTGGACCCACGGATCTCTGAGGCAAGTGGGGCGCTCCTTGTCTTGTGGATAGTGCATAAACACTCAGAAGGTATGGGACCCCATTGTGACCATGACTGAAACAGGATGCAGTTCCTACATACCCCTCAGGCATCCCCCGTGTTGCTACTTTTAAAGTGTGTGTTGTCATGCGTATTAGACAACCACTGCCTTCAGAGCCACATGTTTGTGGACACTCTATTTTGAGAGAGGAAGGAGATGCACAAATAAGGGGTGGAGGGCAAACCAGACCTTAGCACAACTTATATGGATATTTGGGGCCTTGGCAGAGTCAATATCCATCATGGCCAGCGATTAGGGGCTTGTCACAGTTAACAGTGGCCATTGAGACAGGCCAAGTAAACAGCCTGGCTGCGCTTTGGCCTTGTGTATTTTAAGAGTATGAATTTAGTCCTGGCGCTGGGTTAGGTAGAAGAGGACACCAGATAGAAATAACATTTTAAGTTGCTATAGCAACTTTTATCTTAAACACTTAGAGAAGGAATCTTTTGAGAAGCTTTCTGGATTCCATAAGAGACACTTCTATTGCAAATGCGATGAAGAAGGGGGTAAAAGGATGCAGGATGGACACTTCTCTTTGGGACAAAGATAGTACAGTTTCCTGGAACTGCCTTTATCTTTCCCAGAGCCCCATCTTAGTGGCCAGACTCCTGGGTGGACAGTCCCAACAATGCCCATCTGAGAAGCCGTATTTTCTATGCTTAAAGGCATGTAGGATGCAAGAAAATGTGCTATTGTTCTTCCTTCCAAAGGCATTACCTGTGAAATTTTGGACTGTGATGAAGACAATTATCTTCCTTATGTTTCCATTTCCATTTTCCCTCCTCTGTATTTAAGCACTGCTAATTTAGATTTTAGAAAAAATCATGGTGATGGATTAGGGCCCTTGAGTTATGTAATTCCCTCACCATTTTTCTTTCCTTCTCCAAGGAAAATCTAAGTGTCAGCCATAAAAACTTTATACTTGTTTAGATATATGGTTGACCCTTGAACAAAGCAAGGTTTAGAGGAGCCAACTTCCCGCACAGTCAAAAATTTGAGTATAACTTTTGACTCCCCAAAAACTTATCTACTAATTGCCTACTGTTAACTGAAAGCCTTACCAATAATGTAAGTAGTCGATTAATACATAAGTTGTTTGTTTTATGTATTAAATACTGTATTCTTACAATAAAGTAAGCAGAAGAAAATGTTATTAAGAAAATCATAAGGGAAAGAAAATACATTTACAGTATTTATTTTAAAAATTCACATGTAAGTGGGCCCACACAGTTCAAATATATGTTGTTCAAAGTTCAACTGTATATTTTCCCACAACTGAACACTTGTTATCTGTAGGGTTAAAAACATACTGCTGTATATTTTTCATTTTCTCTAAAAAGAGCATTGTATTTTTGTCCTTCAAAAATCATGGTTGTATATGGTTCTATCGCTGTTTTTCATTATGATCATTTCCTTTAACTAACAAAATTATAATGTTGAATAACCTAATTATCATGTTCTGGGAGTAATTGATTTCGTTGTAGTCAGTGTTTATGTGTGTAACCACAATTTCATTTCAGTTTATGAGGTACTAGTCCATCATGTTATTCTGAAATGTTGCTGCCTAAAATACTTAAAGATTATGTTCACCTTTACTCTTCTTTTTTTTAGGCTCAGAAATCCTGGATAGAAAGAGCATTTTATAAAAGAGAATGTGTTCACATCATACCCAGCACCAAAGACCCCCATAGGTAATTTTGCTGTCTTTATCATTTACCGAGAACATGGAGTAGCAATTATGGGAAAACTACAATAGTTAGAACTATTCATTACATGTAGACCAATGTGGAATTAAAGTTCAATTTTTATTGTTGCTGGACATCTTTGCAGCAATATTTTATACACATACCACATAATATGCCATCTCTGCAGTGAATTCTCTAAGAATCTATACAGAATAACAAATAGACCACCAGGGAAGGAATTAATCACTGCACGTAAGATGGAGTATATATATTTGTATGGTTACTGGTTTTCCTTTTTAAGCATTTCATCAAAATACTTCTTTGTACCAACATACATTGCTGTGATGCAAAAGAGATTTTTAAATTAATGACTTTTAGCAGATTACTAATTAGAATGCAGACCTTCAGAATCCTATCCAAGCACATTTTTAGTTTCCTACTTACTTTTTTGAAGATCAAAACAGTGGGAAGTATTTGGGATAAAGTAACATATCAATGTCTGGAAATGCCTTTTTTAAAAGGCAATATACTAAGCAGTTTAAAATATAGACTATAGCAGTGATGGCTAACCTATGACACGTGTGTCAGGGGTGACACACGAACTCATTTTTTTGGTTGATTTTTCTTTGTTAAATGGCATTTAAATATATAAAATAAATATCAAAAATATAAGTCTTTGTTTTACTATGGTTGCAAATATCAAAAAATTTCTATATGTGACACGGCACCAGAATTAAGTTAGGGTTTTTCAAAATGCTGACACGCCGAGCTCAAAAGGTTCGCCATCACTGGACTATAGAGTCATACAGACTATGTAACCTTGAGAAAATTATCTAACCTTATCTAACCTTCAAAACTACAGTATTATACTCATAAAGTGAATGCCACACTGTTCGCATTTAATAAATGGTAACTGTGTATCAGTGTTATAACAATAATCATAGCCACAGTGGCAGGAAAGTCTGAAGGACATTTTCATGGGTTAAGGAGTGAATTTTGTTTTCAGATATTTTGTGAATAATTCTTTCATTGTTCCTATAAGAACACTTAAACTGCAGATTTTTTCCCTCTCAATTGGCTTTTTGACAGTGAATGTCAAGTTGGAAAAGACAAGTTAGGTTGTGACTCACCTATGAGTGAGATTCCTCATTTAAATGTGCATATTAAAATTCTTCCTCTGAGCTGCTCAGTGTCCTTCCTGCAAGATTTGATCGACAGGAGGAATATGAAGTAAAAACATCTAAGAGCTTTTGTTCGCAGGTTCCAATCTTGAACAATATGGCAGGTGTGAGAGGGGTGGGTGGAGGAGGACAGGGGACATGGTATAGCTTACACAGCTGAAGGAAAATGAGGGGGCAGAGAAGAAAAGGGATATTTTCAGGTAAATCCTGAGTTCCTCATGTGCCTGATACCACCACAATATGGGATTCCACCTGAAAATTGACTAACTGGCTTGCTACAGACTGTAGATTTTCCAGCCTTAAGTGTGTATTCCAGTAGCGGCGAATACAATGGTTCACTTTGACCTCCTATGTTATAGGTGTTGCTGCGGGCGTCTAATCGGCCAGCATGTGGGCCTCACTCCCAGCATCTCCGTTCTTCAGAATGAGAAAAATGAGAGTCGCCTCTCCCGAAATGACATCCAGTCCGAGAAGTGGTCCATCAGCAAGCACACTCAACTCAGCCCCACGGATGCTTTCGGGACCATTGAGTTCCAAGGAGGTGGCCATTCCAATAAAGCCATGGTAATCAGAAAAACATCCATTCATTTTCCCCAATTCTCTCACAAGTCCTACAAGGCAATGGCAAAGAGCTAGAGGTTTAGTCTTTAGACCTAATCCCAATTCTGTCATTTCCTGGCTGGGTAACCTGCTCTAATTACCTTGTCCTAAGTATCTATGCTCTTTCTCTATAAAATGAGGCAAACAAACCTCCCTCTGAAGATTAGTATGAGATCAGACACATGACTATTGTTTTTATTCATAATAAGTAGCTCTCTATCCACTATTTATTATGTTACTATCTGGGTCTCATTATTAAGACATGTTTTTCTAACTCCTTTGGTTAAAAAAAAAATCTTACCTTTAGGTTTCTATTTTGTTCTATTGGTAACTAGGATTTCTCTCAATTCAAAGTAGAAATGATCGTGTCAGACTATTTTCTTCTCTCTTCTATCAGACTGAGTGCTTTTTCTCCAAGCAGCTGTGTTCAATAATGTTCTCAATGGAAGCGCTCCATATGAAAAGCATTTTTCTTTGGAAAGGAAGCTTTAGGAAATAAACACATTTTACTTCTCAGAATTGTCACTTCTAAATTTCAGCTTTCATCGTGGCCCTCTCCCTACTTGGCTGTCAGATTTTGCCAGGAGAAAAGTATACCATGTGTTTTTGGAAATTCTAGAAATACTCTATTCCAACAAGCTTGCTTCTGTTGAAAGAGAGATCGCTGAGGGTGGAGCAGTTGGAGGTGGCTGTTCTCAGGCATGCCACAGAGGCTTCTGAGTTCAGAGAGAAAATTTTGCTTAGAGAAGCTTACTGCAAAATGCAAAATAAGTCGCTTCACCAGTTACAGTCCGGAAATGGGCAACAAAGCCACCTCTCTTGTCTTTTTTCCTCTCCCCTCCCCATTCTCACATCTGCACCCCGCCCCCCTGCCAACTGCAATATTTTCTTCACCAAGAATAGCTATAAGCTATTCTCACAGTTTTTCCATGAGAAACTTAATTCTAAGCTATATATTAGATTAAAACCAATTTTGAATAATATATTGGGGAAAAAAGAGATGCTATATGCAACTTCCAATAAGGCCTGGCAAAAGAAAGAAAGGGTTAGTCTAGGCCTGTACAGAACTAGGGGAAATGGAGATGGTAACTTCCACATCCAATTAAGGGATGCATTTACCTACCCAAGATCATTAAGGGTCCTCAACTCAGCACAGTCCCCATTCACAGTCTGGATTGAACCATATACAGTGTGGGTCTTCTTGAACCAGGCATTAATTAAAAGTCATGCACTTTCCCTATGAGAAAAGTACCACAGGAGAGGAAGTGGCTTAGTAGGCAATAATCATAGAGTGGTACATCCAGTAACTTCATAGGGTCCTTGAATGATGCCAGCAGTATCATGCCACAAACTCAGAGGCACATGGTAAGTAAACTTCTGGTCATTATTTCCACTGTTAGAATGCAGTGTCTGTCAAATTGAGCATTATTTTGCTCATAAGTAAGAGTGTCCCTCCAAAGTGATCACCTGGGGAGATGCTAATGACCATGATGCCTCCAGTGACCAGGACATGTTTTGGAAACTGATTTATGTTTAACAAGTGGGAACCCACGCGATTCACCAGACACAATGCACATTTTGTCCACTTTGAATATTTGCCCTTGAAGTATTTTGATTCTCCTGTCTAGACAAAGAGGTTGAGTTGTTCCAAATGTCATATGTCTTGTTTTGTCAGTCAGGATGGTTGTTTTGCACCAATTTTATTTCTCGTCCTCTTCAACAAACAAGGTTGCAGTTCTGACAAAGGGAAAATCAGCAGCTACTGTCTGTGAAAGAGTGCCAGCCTTTAGATGGGAAGCTGTGGTAAATTATTGGCCAGGATTTAAGTGAAGCAGGTCAACTAACTTAATATGTCTTTGGCCACTTACTCCTGACAAAATATTTGAAAGTTGAGATGATTTTTAGCAAAGTGATCAAAAATTCTAGAGGGCAGATTAACGTTGCCCTTCATTAATTTTTTTAAAATAAGGTATAACGTTAACTGTTCCCTTTAAGACAACCCAAGAAGAAGTGCTTGTGTCTTCAAAATGCCCATGTGGTCTGGACACAAGGTGAGGCAGAGTCTGCTGGAGGTTGGTGGAAGATACAGTTGGAGGAAAGTGAATCATTATTGAAATTATTCTCATTGTTATTAAAATTATGAAAACCATACCTGCTCAGGAGCATTATATGCCTGTGTTACCGTAGGCAGTACAGCACGATGCCACGGAACTCTGGGCGCCAAAGACACTGGAGGGATCAGGTGCAGTGGCTCTCAGCCTGGAGGCTCTGGCGTCCCGCAGGGGCTCCTACAGATGCCCATGTAAGAGTCTCCCCCAGAGAGTCTCCTTCATTGGTCTGGGATAGAAACTGGCATCCGGTTTGTTTTTGTTGTTTAAGTTAGCCAGGTTATTCCAGCCTGGCTTAAAAATTGCTAAATAATCCCAAACCTTTCTACCTGTTTTATATGGAACCCAGTCAAGTTGAATTATCTCCCAAGAGTCACACAATTATTTAACGACAGAGATAGTTCTCAAATCCAGGCTCCTCAGGACTCCCCCGCAGTTCTGTTTCTTCTCTGCCCTGTGTGCCTGGTACACACTATAGTTGTGTTTTGGAAGGAAGCTAATTGCCATTATTTTTCTAGATTTTTATAAGGATTCTGAAAACTTTGCGCTAGAGATAGAGGATCACTATTATTGGATGAGCTTCATTAGACGCAGAAGCTGTGAACGGGAAGAGCTCTTGGTGAAATTGCATCCTAGGCTGTTAATAGAACCATGTTCCGAGCCCTTCCTAGTCCTTTGTAGTATTCCGTCCTCAATTCCCAGGCTTGACAAGCTCTAGTAAAACAAATGAATCCAGCTTCCCTCACACATTGCAGAGAAATGGTGACACAGGAAGGAGACATTCAAAGCTGGCATTGAATGAAGGATTCTCACTTCCTTCTCAGCACCAAGCCACATATTACCAAATGTCATGTCCCCAAACAAGGCACTCCTGAGCTTCTGGGGGACCTGACAGTTTATTCAGATGCATCATAAAAGTCAGAACAGAGGCACCAAAGTCAAGGAGATGCAGATACTAAAGCTCTGGTTTCAGCGTTGTCATACGAGGGTGGGTTCCAGATAACTTTTTAAAACTGCCTTCGAGAGCAATAGCAAGAGAGAGCACCATCGGACGTGGAGTCCTTCCTCAAAGACTCTTCTTTATCTGAGGCTAAGACTGTAGGTTACTTAGAAAAGGAAGCAGTGCTGCACTTGATGAGACAGAATCTTATTTGCTTACTAATCATCTCTTTTAATTAATGCTGAGCTGCCTTGTGGACAAGGTAAGTATAACCTAATTAAGAGCTTGTATTTAAACCTCTCAAGTCACCCAGATAATTCTCAGGTCTTCCCTTGCTATTTACTCTGCTTATTAGATCAGGTTGAGCTTCTTATTACAGTTTTCATATAATTGAGGTAACTGTTCTTATGCCTCATTTTCATACTTAAAGCTCTAACTATGAAAGCCTGCCAAGATGAAAGCCTCATTGTCTGAGCATTGTGGATAGAGGATGGCAGGGAGGAGGGAAGGCCAAGGGAGAGACCCTAAGTTGCGGGTGGGGGAGGCATCTACAACCTTGCACTCTTAAAATGTTTTGGGATTGAATTTGACTTTTTAAAAATTTGCTATACTTTGCATTATGCAAATTTGATCTGAGAATCATCATTGACTCACACACAGCAAATACGAAAATAAAGGAATCCCACTCTGAAAAACAAAATAGCGAATCACTAGACTATGGCTAACTAAGCAGCTTTCCATAAGCACGGTAAGGTGTTTGGGGGAGGGGAGGTGTAATTGCTCCATTGATTTCCAATTTTCATCTTGTAGTTTCCAGACCATTGAACTGACAGTGCCTTCTGAATCTGAGAATAAAACTAGGATTTGTCACTGAAACTTCTGATCCCAATCATAGACCTATAGAGAAGGAAGAACCAACTTTCCTCAAGGAACCCATCTGCCCTCTAGAAAATTCTCATCTCCTGAGAAGTCAATTAGCCCAGGTTTGGGAGCAATGGGTCCTGGACCCTGAATACACTCTGTGACTTGCAGTGATATTTCTATTTGTAGACTTCGTCATGATTTTACACATCTCAGAAAGTTATTACTGATTTTAAAGATCAATGAAAAAATAAAAGCAAAGGGTTGTGGGTTCTGTCAGAGAAAAGAGCTCAAGTTCCTGTTGTTTCATTTGTCGGTATTTTTTAAGGACATTATAGAAAACAGTTTTATTTTATTATTATTGCTGAAAGTATTACAGATGCCTCCTTTTCCCCCCATTGACTCCTTCTAGCCCACCCCTGCCCCCTGTCCAGGCCTTCACCACCCTACTATGTGTGTCAATGGGTTTGATCTCTTACCACCCCCCTCACCTTCCCTCTGAGAAAACCATTTTAAATTATTTTACGTGTCTCCAGGAATTTCAGGGCAGGAATTATGTCCAAATTTATTTTAAAAAATTTTTTAAAAAAAGAAAATTCTCATCTCCTTGCTTCTAGAAGAGTTTACACTAAGTAATTCTGGCAGAAAAAGCATAGAGAAACCCCTGTGGCCTGTTCATATTCTCAGTGAAGTTTTATAATTATTTCTAAACCTTTAGCTTTGGCTTTTCAGCATCCATGACCTGGAAGTGCCCAGTCTCTAACACTGAGGAATTACAAAAACAATATGGAATAAATTACGATGGCATTTTCACCTCCAAAATGTTGTGAGTCATCAAACTAGGAATCCAATAACAGTGACACCTCACATTTACATTCCCAATATTTTCTTTCTAGGGAGCTTTAACATATATTAAACCACCATAAGTATTCAACTCCTGCTGCAAAGCAAAAGGCTCCACAAACTTGAAAAGCTGCTATCAGCAAAATTGTCATAGTAGTCTGGTGCAACATATTCTCCTTGGCCACAGCTTTAATTAAAAGCACTCATCTGAA